CTAGTAAAATTAATAAATGATACAGAAAATCAACATCTTATAAATTAATGATAAATATCAACAGTTATAACTTACTTTTTTCATTTTAACATCTTGATACATTAGTCGTTAGAATGATCAGAATATACCAAAATTTAAAGTTTTGTGTATCAAATGAAGAATAATATACATAAAAAAATTTAATCAGAAAAATGTTTCTACTATTACACAAAACTCATTACATGTGAATAAAAAAATTAAAAAAAAAGCATACCGATGGTGGTGCAGGTCTGGATATGGCGACGACATTCTTCCTATCCCTCTTCTTTGGTGTTTTTGCATGTTCTTTTTTTTGTTTGTTTTGACTTCTTGAAACTTTAGAAGATTATTGCAAGCTCTTAGACTCGTTTTCTGCCACTTTAGATTCTTCACAGATAGAGATTTGATTAGTGTTTAATGTAACTATTTGGGTAATCACAATATTAAATGACAGATGATCCATGAAGCATTAGAAAGAAAAAAAGAAAGAAAAAAAAATTGAAGATGAAAATTTATGTATTTCAAACTTTGAAATTGGTTGATGGAGAATATGATAGAGAGAGAACATGTTTGAAATTCAAAATTAAGAAGATGGAACGGTTGAAAATATGGCGGACAAAATTTAGGAGTGACAATTGGGTTTGGTTATTGAAGGATAAGATTGTGAAGTAAATAGAGGAGTAAATTTAGGGTGAAAAGTAATGGGTTGGAATTCTAAAAAAATAATGTATTGGTTGTTTTGAATTTGGGGAGAAATAGAAATTTTTGTATTTTTTAAAAAATAGTAGGGAAATATGGTGAATATATAAACTAAAGGTGTATATTCTAGTAATTATTTCATATATATATCCTTAACTTTTAGGGAAACAAACAAATGCACATGTATTTACTGATAGGTATGATAAAAATAAAGTATACAAATAGAAATGTTGAATTTGATACAAGATTGATACAAACTGTATCCTTTAATGCAATTGATGCAAGATTGATACAATTGTAACAATCAATTATATAAATACAAATATTGAACTTGATATAATTGTAATTCGCTGATATAATTTTCATTGATACAGATTATATTTGGGTACAACTAATTGTATTCTTTGATACACATGCCGACTCAACAATATTGGGAGTCTAAAGCGAAATTTAAGAGAGAGGCCTTAGTATTTTTTTTAATCTTATATTCTTTTAGCTATTTTAGATGCAACCAGCGAAGTGATTAAGTATTGTTTTATAATCAATTTGTTTTAATAATTTCTTTTCAAAAGATAATATAACTAATTTATTCAATCTCTCTTGAAAGTTGAGACACTGTTGATCTTAAAGAAGATTCAATCAATGTTAATTTCGATAAACTTCTTCCGGGTGAGGCAACAATTACATGAACTGTTAACATTATTCTATAAGTATTTTCATTAGTTCATTATCTTCCACTAGTATTATTTCTCTTAACACTTTTAGTTCAAAAAATAAATCTAAACCATCAATATCAGAATAACTATTACGTGTTAAAGAAAATTCAAAGTTAAACACTATTTTTAAAAATTCTCATCATTTAGAAATCTCAATATTTTATCACTAAATAAGAAATCATTTTTTTTTTCATATACTTCAATTGGTTCAAATCTATTTTTGAAATGAAAAATAGTTTGATCTTCTCTACATGTATAAAAGTAATCAACTCTAAAAGATTCTTCAAGGAATTTTGTTATTTCGTTATCCATATTTTCATCAAATTAACTTTTTTTTACGAAATTCAGGTTTATATTCATCTGATATGCAATTTTCCTAGTAGAAATTATAGCACTCATAGTATATATAATTTTTTTTTTAAAAAAATAACATATATAAGTAATTATTTTTTATAAATGGGGCCCCCAAGCAATGACTTTAGTGGCCTAGGGATTAAGATGGTCCTGTAATGATACATATATATACTAATAAGTATATACAATTATACAAATAGATGTTATTTCCTGTATTAAGGTTAGTCAAAACAGAAACAGAAAGAAGATGAAAATAGACAAAAAAATTAATAATTCGACTCCACAGAAATTACTGTGTCTCCTTAAGAAGTTTAATCCCCTCACTATACTCGAGGTTATGGATTAATTTCTCCCAAGCTAAAACGGATTAATCCTGTTAAAGATGTAGCGGTACCTCAAACTTCTATAACTTCAGCGAACTTAAGAACAGTAACCAACCAAACAGACTCAGTCGATTGACACTTTGTTTATGAGAAAAAATATATGCAGAGAAGAAAAAAATTTTAGTATTTGAAAAAACAAAAATTGACTTCCTTACTAGCCATTTTCAGCAAGAAACGTGTCAGTTCAGATCCATGTTTTCAGAAGGTTGTGTCTTTTAGAAATAATAACAACTTTTCAAAAAAATGTGTCTTTTGGAAAAATAACGACTTTTTGGAATTTAGACCGTTATGATAGTTGCACGCAAATTTCAAATTGCAAAAAAATTAATTCTGAATTAATTTATAAGAGAAAAGAAATTGATTAAATAATTTTTTTCAATCCGAAGCCGAGGTCGAGCGAGTGACGACGGCGCAAGGGGGAACCTTCTTCTTGGCTCTTTAAGAAGTGAAGTAAGTGTTTTCTAATATAAGGACAACAATTTTCCTTTCTTTTACCGATATGGGAGAAATGACTTTTCATTTTCCTCTTAATGACTTTTCATTTTTCCTCCAAATTGGTTCCCTCATTTTTTTTTTCAATTATTCTCTTCTCTTTTTCCCAACCACACACTTTGCAAAAATCGAACAATCCCCCACATGAATGGGGAACGACTACTGGTAAAACATATGCATGAAAAACTTGTGTGTCTTGTAAGTAAGGGTTAATCGTATCTGGATAAGTAGGTTTTACTACTAAAAAATAGTGTTTAGCGACGGACACAATCCGTCACTATATAATGAAAATCTGTCACTAATCATGATTAGTGACAGATTAGCAAGGGAGTATTGATTGTTGCAATAACGCTCGTTAGTAAGCTCTTAGTGACAAAAAAATTAGTTCTGTCACAAATTTAGCGACGTCATAGTGGCGAAACATTTTCATATTGCGACGGACCTAGTCATCATTATACTTATATAATTTTGTTGGTAATTTCATAATTCTAAGATAAAAAATGAGTTTCATCATAAGTTTAGCGACGCGATAGTGACGAAACATTTTCGTCGCCACATGTTAGCCACGAACTGATTCATAATTATATTTATATAGTTTAGTTGCTAATTTCATAATTCATTTTGTCATTTTGGATAAATTTGCGACGAAATTTCCTTCACAACATATTCTATTACAACTTATTAGGCCTTCAATAATTCGTAGCTGATCCGTCCCAACATTCTTTCATAGCAATGACCAAACATTCATATAATATAATACTCACAAACAATTTATAATATATAAATAGAAAACTCCAAAATCACATATTTTTGGTTAAATATATTTGAATAAATATATTAAGTACTCTTAAATGAAACTATGTTCATCAAAATATTACTACACAATTTGTAGTTTTCAAAAAATATGACTTTATCAAAAATTAAAGTTGTTGGAGAACTAAGGGATACGATCTTCCCTTGAAATTTAGGTAGCAACTTCGTCCACATTAGTAACAGCAGGCACTATGGGTTTCACAATTGATGGATTGCTGGATGGAGTAATCGATGCTTGCACCTGCTCAACAATAATATGAACAAGATGACTAGTTAGTGCAAACATCATTTGCTTTACAAACTCATCCATATTTGTTATTGATGTTGATTGAAAAAATGGAGGTTGTAATGATGATGAGCCACAAAGATTCTTCCTATAGTAATTTTCTGCTTTAGACCAAGTCTGTATATTCTTCTTTTCTTTTCTTTCCATGCAGATTGGTAATATGCTTCACGTTGATCAATATCCATCTGAAACACTATTTTTCGTAATACTTCTTCATATTTTTCCTATAATAACTAGAAAAAATGAGAAAGCATTAAAGGTAGGAAACAAAATAAATTTTGAAGGAAAATGCAAAAAAAAAAAACACAAGTTTTTAAGCTTAAAGAACATGTCTATTATTTTTCCAGGAAGAACTGCGTTTTTGCAGCAAAATGGTCGATTTGATTTCCATGTGCACACAATACTCTAATATCTTGTATTAGTAGATAATTGTTGCAAGAAAAATGCAATGAAAGGAAGACAGTGCAACTTATATTAGTTGGCCTATGAAGTGTTGTTTATAAATTGTAGTAATTAACTTAGACCTATAATTTTAAACTCGTTTGAATTGCAGAATAAAGATCATGCTTGAACTCACACATTTTTGGAATAGATGAACCTCAAAACAAACTAATTTCTATTATCAAATAGCATAAAAAACACTCGAAAATTAGCCAATCAAAATCAGAATTACATGAAAACAATTGCACTATATTCACACTAAAATGACATAAGAATTACAACAAAAACCTATACACAACGTATAACAGCTGCTACAGGGGTAGTAAAGGGCCTACAATTCTTGAATAATTAAATCATCCCTGGCCTCTTTTCGAATAATCTAAAAGATAACAGATATTTTTTTGGACCAGAAAATTGTCGCCAAAATTAATAGCTACAATATGCCTATTCTCTTGGAGAATATCAGAAAGTGTGAGTACCAACTTATCAAAGTTCATGTCATTCTTCTACTCACACCAGCAAAAGTAGTTTACATATATGCCACAATATTAACTTATGCATATTTGCAAGAATACTGTCAAACTTTTTCAATTGGTTATAATCAGAAGTGTGTACAAATAATTGCTAATCAGAGCAAGATGTACAAATTCTCTAAAATAACCATTTCTTACATCATTTGAAAAATTTAAACCAAATGCCTAGACATGTTCACAACTCATGTTGCTTGTTTGAATCACTTTCTTGCACATGATGGAATGAAATACGACAAAGAAGATTGCACCTTTTAAAGAGAGAAAATGCCAGTACTATTATTGTTTTTTATAGCCTTTCAAATCATCAAATGATAAGAATCAATCCGTCCTATAAAAAATTGTTTCTTCTTTGTTAATGTACAAGGCAGTTGACAATCCTGCTTCTATTTTTTGTTTTTTATGACTGAGGTGTTCAGATGAGCTTTCACACCCTGACTACGAGATACCTACCACCTCATCCACCTACAACAACTATTAAGTTATTGTGCTATTTGTTGTTAGTGATCAATAGTTACGACTGTTGTTGAAAATGAGATTTCTTATACTTTATAAGACTAAAGAAAGGAAGTTTCAAATTGCATTTCATCACACAACAGATTGACTATTCACAGAATGAGTATCAATTTTCAGAATGTAGTCCATCATGCAGCCAGTTTCTCATCATCAAGAATGCCTCTTCTGCATCTTTATCGTCTTCTAAGGATTGAGGTCGATGGGCAAAATCATGACCCCTTCCCTCAAAAATCGCCATTTTGCAACCATTCGCGTTATTTTCAACCTCCTTCAACACATTCACAGGACAAAGTGGATCACTGTCACCAGCAATAAGTAGTAGAGGTACCTCAATCTTGCTAGTAACAGATAAGTCGATCCGTGTACCATAGAATGAGATCCCAACACCAAACTCACTACCCTTATCTTGAGCCAATATGTCTATTAACACGCCACCGCCAAAGCAAAATCCAATCACTCCAAACTTCTTTGATATTCCTGCAGCCACAAACTCATTGGCCATCCATTTAGTCGATGTGAAAATGTCTCTCACAACCTGTTGTTTGTCTACACTACCAATCCATTGCTCAAACAAAGCTTTGGATTCATCCTTTCTCCATGGATTTCCACGGAACATATCTGGTACCAGAACACTGCAAAATCATTCAATTCATGACCTCGAGCTTGGTTGATTCTTTTGCACATGTTATGAAGTATGATAACCAAAGGAAACACCTTTTTTTATAAATAGAGAAGGTATACGATGACTTACTTGTATCCATTGCATGCAACACGGTATGAAAAATCTCTCGTAAATGAGTCCTCAAATCCAAAGATATCAGATAAGAGCAAAATGCCAGTACCATTGTTGTTCCTTACAGCATTACAGAGATAAGCATCAATGCTATCAACTCCATCCCCAATGGAAAGCTCAACTCCGTTAACTAGTTCACAAGCCTCATCCTCTACTTTCACATTGCAATTAAAGACTTTGTATTTCTTAGTCTTTCTCAAGGATAACGAAATACCCCAACACTTGACATAGTTTCTCTGGACAATAACTGAAACACGACAGTCAGCCCTTTATCGAGAATCATCAAATAATTTTAAGCAACTCAAATACAACTTAGAAAGACACTATTACTTTGTTAATGTATTTGTATTCTTTGAATCTACTAAGAAATATGGAACGACGAATGGAGATTTTTAGAACAACTGAGCTTTTAATTAGAAGATTACTACTTTTTTTCAGAACAGCAGAGTTTTTAACTAATTCTTCCTCTTGTTATCTCGACGGTAATACAAGTTTTCTATTATGGGTCTCAACAACAAGAAGCTAAACATATAACCAATTCATGAAACTAATAAAACATGAGGCACTGTTATTTATTTATAGCTTCTGAGGCAATCTTTATTTTGTGTTACAACAATCAAGAACCACAATTTATTCGTACACAAAAGACGGTCTAACATTTTAGTTTGTTTTCGAAAACCTTCACTGACATTGGAGTTTCCAATCTTGTGGTCTTGTTTAGTCAGACAGACATACAGGAACAATCAGGGCAAGGACATCTCAGTAATAGAACTAGTCATGCAAGAGCAATCAGGACAAGGACATTCAACCATAGTTAGCAAATTTCTTGTTCTTGGTAAGCTTAAATTCACAGAGTATGTTTTGGGTAAGAAGCTCGACTCAATGGTTCCCGGAGTTTCAACATGACTCTCAATCGACTCGCTCGTGCTGACATAGAAGCTAAGTGTAACCACCATGAAAATCAAGGCAACTGAGATATTCTTAGCCATGGATAAAAAAGTTTATTTTGCTATAATTGAAATTAAAAATTGTTGAAATTTATAGTGATAGATTGCTAATATTATAGTGTATATGCTTCTTGGAATTTTAGTCATTTGTCTATGGAAAGTTAAAGATGCTATGGATGCCGCCTATGGAGCATAAATAAATAAAAGAAGAGAATTCGTATTATTTAATCATTAACATACCGAAAATGAAAGACCAAAGGGAGCATCAAGTGGTGTCTCTCTTTTTTTAAGGAGACTGCTCGTAGTCGTTCTTGGAGCGGTTGAACACACCAGGGCTGACTCCATTCTTTCAACTATGTCTTCTGCTAATCAAGTAAAGATATGTGACAAATACAGAGAGAAGAAAAAGGAGTAACTAGTGGACAATGGAGAAAATATCTTTGCTTTCAACAATTGGAGCCTCAAATGTTAAATATCTATATGTTTTATCTTCTTTCTTTGCCAACAAGGAACTCAATCCTAAATAATTTCACAAATGATATCTTTTTTTTCCACTCATCGACACATTTAAAATTTTGCCTGCTTGAGTTCGACAAAGTATGACCATTCTGCAATAAAGATAAGCATAATAATTGTGTTGGTGCGGTGATAGCTATCCGATGGAATAGTAGAACTGCATCTAAACTAACCCAACAAATTATAAAATGGGAAAGCATCTCGAAATAGATCACTTATGTAAAATAATAAATACTTCGCCGTTATCCTAAGAAGGGGCGAATTTAATAAGTTAAAAAATGGGTCATCAGAATCCGTGGTTATCTGAAAAGTTCGATATATCTACTTGTATATTCAAGGATTCAAGGGGGTGTTAAATGAGCGGGTTCAGTTGAAATTATAAATATTAAAATAAGTTGAAGTAAAAATTAGGTTGGTCATGGATTGGACTTCAGTGAACTTAAAAAACAGGTTGAGTCTTGACCCGTCTAATTTTTTCCACTTAATTCAATAATTTTAATATATTGTTATTTAAGTTTTATAACTATAATATGAATTTGAACTAAAGAAAGTTTTTTAAAAAGATGGATAGATAAATCGTATAAGATATAAAATAGATAATAATTTATTATTTTAATATAGAAATGAACATTACACTAATGCAAATAAAGAGTCATAAAACGAATTGAAATTAGATATTAGATTGAGCTCAATTAAAAATTCTCTTAAAGAGATTAGGACTTGAATAAGTTAAAATTGAATCCAATTAAAATTATGTTGAGCTCAACTTTTAAAATTATTAACAAATAGTATGAATTACCTTAAACTTTTTGACGTCTTTAAATTAGTTCGTAAAATATATCAAATAGCAACTGAAGGAACCTATGAACACAAATGACTGGATGCCTCACAGGTTTGAGTGTTTGTTTTACACTGAATCGATTCCCAATTGCAACATTCATTCCTTTTAAAATTGAAAAGCACTGGGGTTAACGTTTTTTAAAAATGTTTTAAAAAATGCAGCTTGTTTTTTACTTCTTATTTTACAATTAAAAAAATAATCTAAAGGTTCCAATTGCAAGCATCTTAATTTCACAAAAACACAGTATGCGCTCGAACTTACCAGCCGACAAAACCCGTTTCTTCCACTCTTTTTTTTTCAACTGAAATCACCATTCTTAGTAAGTAAATAGCAAAATCAATTATAAATTTTAGATCTTATCTTACGTACAATGATCAGCAACGACTCAAACACACATGTGGTCTGAGACAAAATCAAATCCCAGACCTTAAACTTTTAAGAAAAAAATAATATTTTTTTATAAAGTTGATTTTTTAAAATTTTTGAGATGCAAAATTATATTTTTTTTATCATTAGATTCTTTTGATAATTATTTATTAATCAGTAATTCATATAATCAATAGATTTAAATTTTTTTACAATATAGTACACTAAATATATCAAATTTCTTCTAATAACTTTTTTTTTCATATATATATATATATATATTGCAAAGCATATTTATATATATTATTGCTAAAATAATTGTGGTCCTTCAATAAAGTAGTTGCCTTTTTCATAAAGAGGCAAAGTTATCCCTCAAAATGGTCACCCGTCTTCTTCAAATTCTAAATTAATTTCTAGTTCTAAAAAATCATAAATATCCTCAAGAGTTAATATCATAATTTTTTAGTGATGTAACAAGCCATCTGAGACTAATATCATAATATTTTAGTGATGTAACAAGCCATCTGAGACTAATCCTTTCACTTAAGCGTTGCTAACTAAAATTTATTACAAGATAACTAGACCTTTAGCGGTGACAACAGTCGCCACAAAAGCCTAGAATATTGTCGCTATGTGGATATCCTTGATACGTTGGAAAAACATTACATATAGTTCCACAATATTTAAAGTCTTTTCACATTATCAAGAAACTATATAAATTACATGACTTTTCCAATTTTTCATGTGTATTAGTCATTGAAGGCGCCTTGGAGTACCCAATTTTTTTTCTAAATAAACTTTATGAGAACCTCCGTTATGAGTTGGGGAAACATTGCGTATAGTCTAACCATTTAAGGCATATTCACGTATTTACCATCAAATTTTTAGGAATTACGCAATTTTTCCGACTTTTCCCGTGGATAAGGCGCCTTAGAGCATCTTAATTTTTTACGTATTACATATAGTCCCACCATTTTTAGAGTATTTCAAATTTTTTAGTCAACTTTAATTTTAGGAATTGTGATATTTTTTCAATTTTTCGTGTGTATTGGCTCATGGATTGATGCCTTGAAGCACCCAATTATTTTTTTAAAAAAAAAACTTTATGCGAATATCCGCAATGAGTTGAAAAGGCATTATGTATAGTCCCATCATTTTAAAACTCATTTTGCATTTACCAGCCAAAACTTAATGAATTACACAACTTTTTCAATTTTTCGTTATGTACAAACACATGAATTTGATGCCTTGGAGCATTCAAAATATTATTCTGTAATGAGTTGGAGAAGCATTACGTATAGACCCACATTTTTAAGACCTATTTTTTCATTTACCAGCCAATTTTTAAAAATTACACAACCTTAATAATTTTTCATGTATATTAATTCAAAAATTTAACACCTTGAAGCACCAAATAATTTTTTTGTCAAAATAACGTATAAATCACTTCATCAAAGAAGATGAAAGAAAGAATAAGAAACTTACAAGGTCATCATATAAATTTCGGCTATTTTTTATCCTGTCTATTTGGACTAGGAGGAACGAATTCATTGTCACGTTCATTTTTATTCTTCTTATAACATCATGTTGTAATATAGAAAGGCTATGCAATTTAGAAATAATAAAAGGGTAAAACAGTCTTTTACATAATGGTAGTTATAACAAACTTATCCTTTTGTTAGTTAGATAAGTTTGTTATTAGTTAGCTAGTGGAAAAAGAGCTATATAAATAAGCCCATTCATTGTACATGTCTATACACAATTTTTCAGAAAAATATACAATACTTTCTTCTCCTTCTTCTTAGCTGCGTTTCTTCTTCTTCTTCCTATGAAGTGTTTCCTTCATTAACGAACATGGTATCAAAGCCACTGCTTCTCAGTAAACATTGATGAAGCTGGAGAATCCATAGAATCAAAGAAACTTGTTGATTCATAAGATTCACAGACGTTTATTGCTGGAAAATCCATAGAATCAAAGAATCAGCTACTGGTTCATAGATTCACAGGAGTTTTGTTGAAAAGGTTTTGAGTTTCAGTAATTGTTTCAATTTCAAGTCCAAGAGTTGACTGTTGTATTTCAGATGGCAGTTGAGGATGAGAATGCAGATACGACTCAAAGCAGATCACATGTTAGTTCTGGGCAGAGTCAAGATATCGATTATAATCATCCTTTGTTTCTTAATCCTACTGATGTTAGTGGTATGAGTATTATTTCATTTCAGTTAAATGGTGTTGAGAATTATACTTTGTGGATTCGATCTATGAAAATAGCTCTACTAGGAAGAAATAAAAATAGGCTTAATTGATGGAACTGCTAGAAAGGAAGAGTTTGGTAAAGAAATGTGGGGGCAATGGGAAAGAGTGCATGCTATTGTCCTATCTTGGTTAATGAATGTTGTATCCAAGAGTTTACTAAGTGGTATTGCATTTGCTTCTAGTGCTTTTGATGTTTGGACTGATTTAAAGGAAAGGTTTGATAGAGTAGATGGCTCTAGAACCTATAGTTTGCACAAAAATATTACTACATTACAACAGGGTACCGTTTCTGTTTCCATGTATTATACAAGACTGAAAAGTTTGTGGGATGAGTTTGAGGTGCTGGTGCCATCTCCTTGTTGTAATTGTGAAATATCCAAAGGTTTTGTTGCTCATATGAATAGGCAGAAGTTGTATCAATTTCTAATGGGATTAAATGAATCCTCTCATGAAGCAAGAAGCCAAATCTTGATGATGGATCCACTACCATCAATCAACTATGCCTATGCTATGATAGTTGGTGATGAGAATCAAAAGGCTGTAGTTAATGGTGTTAATGATATCTCTGCTGCATTGGAATCATCAGTTGCTTTGTATTCTAAGGCAAGTAGTAGTTCAAGTGTAAGTCAGAAAATTAAAAGGAATACTCTGTTGATATGTGATTTTTGCAAGTGTAAGGGTCACAGCAAAGAGTTCTGCTACAAGATTGTAGGTTATCCTCCTGATTTTAAATCCAAAAGAAAGGTTCAAGAAACTTCTTCTGCATATGGTACTACTGGAAACATCAACTATAATCACACACCATTAACACATGCAAATCTTACCTATGGAATGAACACCAATGTTCCTCCACCAGGATGGGAAAATATATCTGAGCAGCATCAATCTCCATCAGAAACTACAAGTGTTAATAGAACAGTAAGTGCTGCAGAGAAAGAGGTTCAACAGTTGCTTCAAGATTGTACATTTACAAAGGATCAATATGATCACATTCTAAAAATGGTCAACAAAAGTCTGAGCCTGCTGTGTGTAATACTGCAAACACTACAAGTAAAACATTTTTTGTTTCTGAACACAGTAACATGTGGATTATAGATACTGGTGCAACAAACCATATGGTGTCCAGTTTGAATATGTTGAATAAAAATATTGTGCATGAACTTGAAGTCTCTAAGCCTGTATATCTGCCTAATGGTACTACTACTCAGGTGTCTCACCTTGGTTCTTGTAGTTTGTCACCAAGAAGGTTTATATCAAATGTGCTTCACATACCTGAGTTCAAGTATAACTTGTTATCAGTTAGTCAGATTACTAAGGAACAAGGTTGTTCTGTTACCTTCTTTCCTCATTTTTGTGTCTTCCAGGAACTCTACAGTGGGAAGGTGAAAGAAGTTGGTAAGGAGGAAGGAGGATTGTACTTACTAATAAAGCACTTAACCACTTAGTGTACTGGTCAAGAAAAAGAAGTTGAGATTGCATTTGCTGCTCATGATGTCAAGGAAGCAGACATGGAGTTATGGCATAAAAGATTAGGTCATGTATCATCAACAGTTTTGTCTAGAATGTTTTCAGTGAATAAGCAAAGTGCTTGTAGAATTTCTAAGTGTCTTGTATGTCCATATGCTAAACAAACAAGGAATGTATTTCCTAAAAGTAGTATTAAAAGTACTGCTTGTTTTGAGCTACTTCATGTTGATCTTTGGGGTCCTTATAAC